TGCCTACAATCAATCTACGCATGATATCGGCGACATTATGAGGGTTGACTTGCTAAATCGTAAATGTCAATGTGGACGGTTCACAGCTAGATGATTTCCTTGCAGTCATGTGCTAGCGGTGTGCAAGGTTGAAAAATTGAACCACTATGACTATGTCGATCCTGTGTTCTCAATTACACAAATTGAGAAGGTCTATGCTGCACATTGGTTTCCAATGGGTAATGAGTTGTTGATTCCAGAAATAGATAGTCCAACTATTATCCTAAATGCATCTTTGGTTCGTGCACAAGGGAGACCGAAGTCTACAAGGATACAGAATGAGATGGATTGGGTTGAGTCCCAACCCACAAGCAGTCAAAGTAGATGTAGCACCTGCAAGCAAATTGGTCACAATAAACGTACATGTCCTATGAGGATTAGACAAAGTTGAACCAATCATGTGCATGTATTTAAGGTTTTATGGTAGAGTTCATGTAATTGTGTTATGAATTTTTATGTTACTTTGTGTTACTGTCATTGTCATTATGTTATTTGACTTTTCATGCCTATTCAAATTAGTAACATTTGTCCATATTGATAGATTGAAACTCATAACAATTATTGATATGACCCCTAAATGAATTCACCTAGTTTCGGGGAGTAAACAAACGGTTTCAATCAATACGTACCCAACAATGCATACGAATGGGGTATTGACTGTTTTGTACCTGAAATTGTGTTCCCCAAGTCATAATACGCTTGTACATTAGACTACAATCGGTTCCATACAAAAAAAATTCGAGGAAATGAGATTGGGGTGCCAAAACCACTGATTTAGTCGAGCAACCTGAACTGGTTTAGTCGACTAAACCAGTTCAGGTTGCTCGACTAAATCAGTGGTTTTGGCACCCCAATCTGATTTCCTCGAATTTTTTTTGTATGGAACCGATTGTAGTCTAATGTACAAGCGTATTATGACTTGGGGAACACAATTTCAGGAACAAAACAGTCAACGGGGGGTTATAAACCATATATGTACATGTATTGCATAAAACTTTGGTTTAGGGTACCCGAAACTTGTGTTCGTCATTTAACTCTCTTATGAGTGACTGTTCTGAATTGCATTGGACATTTTATACCCTTTGGACTGTGATTAGACCCAAATTGAAAACAAGAATGGAAAAATACCATATTCCTTCTTGCGGTAAACAATAAAAATGACATAAATAAGTAAACGGTTCACAACATGATGGGAACATTAAATAGTTCAGCTCTTAAACATAAAAATACATAAACTACAAATGTCAAATAAGAAGACCGAAGTCAATTACATATCAACAGACACACACTACAAACGTAAAGTAAAAAACATAAACCCTAAATCTAATCCTCCTCCTCCTCCTCGGACGCCGTCTCCTCGTCATCCTGGTCGGACACATCAGCCCCCTGCCCTGCAACATCCTCAACCTGCTGCTGTCCTCCTCCAAGCTCTAGACGAGCAAGCCTATCTTCAACACCCTTGAATTGTCCCTGTATATGTCTAAACCTTTCATTCCCTTTCTGGAAGTGACTCTTCCTCCATTTTTTGTGTTTCAGCGGCATTTTTCCTATTTTCTTCAGCGTAGCGTTTATGCCCTTCATGACATCACGCAATGAAAACCCACCCTCAGGCTCAGCTATCTCCTGCTGGTCACCCTCATCATCATCGTCAGCATCATCCTCCACCTCGGGCTCAACCATGTCTGCAAGTGGAGCAACATCAGGAACCTCAACATCAGCCGCGCCAGTGAACTGCCACACTCTTGTTTGTATGTTCTTTGTCATCTTGCACTGCTCCAGTAGACGCTTTCCAAACTTATGATTATACCCTGTGGTCTTCTTCAAGGTCACATTGCCCATGGGAACACCAAAGTGCTCCAATATCCTCTTAACATGACAAGCAAATGGAACTGCACCCTTGTGTTTGGCCTTATACATCATCCAACAGATGTAGTGCCTCCAGTTCACCAAAGTACCATGTCGGATAGCCCACATGATGGGAATGTCATGTTCCAACACCCTGGAATGGTTGAACGCTCGCGGAAACAGAATGTGGGTAATGACATAGTGTAGTATATGGGACTCCACAGTAAGCAACCCCACCGTATAGGCAATATGTTGCCCACAGACTCTTCTCTGCTCCTGAACGGCATCATCTCGTGTATATCCTGGAAGTGTGGAGCCGCTATCTGCGTCATATTCCCCAGTGTCCGCAGAATCAAAGTCATACCCCAGTAACTCCAACCATACCGGAGCCGTCATGATGATCTCCACCCCGCAGACCCTCGACCTCAGCTCACCCTGTACGTAGCTGAGGTTATGGTAGAAGGCCCGTACATGTAGCTCTGAATATGAACACGACAGCTCAACCAAAACCGTAACACGTGCTCCTTCCAACCACCTCACAATGTTAAAACCTTCTGCTTCAAAAAATGTTGTATCAAGTGATTTGGCCCCACATATGGATCGGTTAGCAAAGTCACGGACAAATGAATCATGAACCACGGGGTCATGCTCGAACAAGTATCCGAATGGGAGGTCGACAGGAGCGGGCTCTTCATCTTGTGGCCTTGACGAAGACGGACAGTCTTGTCGTACCTTCTTATTTCCCACGCTATCCGATCTTCTACGCTCAGCCATGGGAACAACGGTACCTACAATGCAAGTGGAAACAATATCAATGGACAATAACAATATCAAAAAAATTTAAAATTCAATATAAAAAACTAAACCCTAACCCTAAAATAAAACATAAAACAAACCCTAAACCCAATCAAAAACAACAACCCAAACCCAAACCCTCAACCCTAACCCTAACCATAACATAAAAACATGAACCCTACCCCTAAACCCAACCTACAACAGCAACCCTAAACCCTAACCCTAACCCATCACAGGAAAACCAATCCTATACCCTAACATAAAAACAGGAACCCTAACCTTACACCCCAACCAAAACAACAGCCCTAACCCTAACCCTAACCCTAACCTTAACCCATCACAGGAAAACCAATCCTATACCTAACATAAAAACATAAACCCTTAACCTACACCCCAACCAAAACAGCAGCCCTTCCCCTAACCCTAACCCTAAGCTACCACATCAACCCTAGTCAATTACCCTCACATCAAACTCAACACCCTACCCCTAACCTAAAGCCACAAAACCGCAAACAACCTTCTACCACAAAACAAGAAATTTAAAAAAACAGAAACCAAAGCATGGAGAAAACAAAAAAAAACTTAAACCTAATACCAAATGCAAGTCAGAAAACGTTACCTACAATGTCAATTTCGCAAGTTGTGAACCAATGATGCTTCAATCGGACCTTCAAGGGATGAGATTCGAACTTGGTTGAGGAGAGGGGTTCTTGGAGCGAAGTTAGTCGACTAGGGTTTGAAAATAACCCCCATTGTGAAATGGGGGGGTTTTAAAAAACCTGGTCCGCGATATTTAGTCGACTAAATAATGGCCTTAGTCGACTAAATGTGCTCGACATGTAGTCGATCAAGGTGAATATTTAGTCGACTAAAATTCGTGGTTTTTGATTTCTGAATTTTGCCCATTTAGTCGATTAAAAGTGCAACTTGATCGACTAAATGGGGGCAGGATGGTGGATAGTTCTGGGGGAGAGACAAATTGGTTATTAATTAATTAATGAGGGGCAAAAGGGTCAAAAAGCCGTCTATCTCCACTTAAACTTTTAAATACAAAAAAATAAAAAAATACTGATAAGATAAACTAAGCAACTAAGATTTAGGATAACTAAGAAACTAAGATCAGATTAACTAACTTGAAATAAGATAACGTATTATAGCAAATTAGGGGCGTTGAGCTGCGGATTAACCCATATTTTCTTCTCTAAGAATAATTCTCAATCGGGCCTCAACTTGGCCCATCAACGAATGAATATTTGAATTACTGTACTGCCCAAAAAGCCTGCCCATATGGAGTACAATTTGGCAATTTAACTACCCCTTGTGGCTACTTTCCATCAATGCCTGACCATAAAGAATTTTTATCTGCAGTTTCAAGCTTAAACTATATGCTAACCAACTTCATCCTTAATACCAAAGTGTGTGCAAGATTGACTAAACAAAGGGTTTGTTTTTTCCACAGTCATGTTAGGAGTGTTCACGGTCTGGATTGAATTGATTTTGGAAGCAAAAATCATTCGATCTAATCCCTTCGGTTTGGATTTTTTTTTTAATCCGATCCAATTCAATTTTTTTCGGTTTGGATTGGATCGGTTTTCGATTTTTTTAAAAATTTGAAAATTAATTTCATTATTATTGTGCAAATAACATCTTTTGTATATATTGACTTTATAAAAAAAAAACATTTTTTTAAATTCAAAAATATCATTAAACGATAATATAGTTTTTTTGTGGCAATGAGATATGAAGCTCTACACAGATGAAATTTTGTTAATGAAATGTTACTACGTTTTTTTTTTGGTTTACTTGATGGGTTAATATGTCTTGGGTTTGAAAATTTTTGAGCTATGATTGGAGAAATGACCAAGTAGGTAGAGGAGATTTAATATATTGGATCGGTTTGGATTGGATCGGTTTTCACCAACCCATCCGAAAACCGATCCAATCTAATTAAAATTTACGAGTTTTTTTCGGTTATCGATTTTTCGGTTCGGTCACTGCGGTTTGAATCGATTTGGATCGGTTGATGAACACCCCTAGTCATTGTAGATAAATTATCTACATTAAATCCAAAATGACATCATTTTGAGGTAAAAATCAAGGTATTTTTGTAAGTATAATTTATTTCAGTGTTATAATAGCCCTTTCATTATAATTTTTTAATTTTTCAACTCAAAATGATATCATTTTGAGAATGAATATAGATAACTTATCTACATTCACTATAAAACATTAAGCCCTAAACAAGATAAACATTCAAAGTAACCACAATTCTTAATAATATTTTTATTCAATCAAACATTACCATGGTTTACATTGCCCTTAATAGACAAAGGAAATAAAAATAATCGATATTAGAAACAATTTTTCATGAAAATAAAAAGATAATGAAAATTAAAAAAATTAAAAAACTGAATTAAAATGATCTCAAAAGAGCGAAAAATATTGGTGCTCATATGAGCCTTGCTCAAAAGACCAATTCCAAGAACTTAATCGATATTAGAAAGTAGAAAATATTTTTTCATGAAAATAAAAAGAGAAAAAAAATTAAAAACTGAATTAAAATGATCTCAAAAGAGCGAAAAATATTGGAACTCATGAGCCTTGCTCAAAAGACCAATTCCAAGAACCTAATCGATATTAGAAACTATTTTTCATGAAAATAAAAAGAGAAAAAAAAATTAAAAACTGAATTAAAATGATCTCAAAAGAGCGAAAAATATTGGAGCTCGTGAGCCGTGAGCCTTGCTCAAAAGACCAATTCCAAGAACCTAATCGATATTAGAAACTATTTTTCATGAAAATAAAAAGAAAAAAAAAATTAAAAAAATTAAAAACTGAATTAAAATGATCTCAAAAGAGCGAAAAATATTGGAGCTCATGAGCCTTGCTCAAAAGACCAATTCCAAGAACCTGTCAAATTTAAATCCATTTTGAAATGATCATCATCCCATGTGCATCAATCCTTCATAACTTTAATCTCCCATTTTCAACTCTGACATCTAGCAGCCTTGTGACATAATCAATAATTCAATGTAGACCACTCATAATTTCAATCTTCCTCCTAGATTTTCTCTTTCTCCTTCTCACCCCGCAGTGCTCACTTCTAAATGAAAGCACCAGTTAAGCGCTTTAAGGAGAGAAGCAGAGGTGGGGAGGAGAAAGAGAAAACTAAGGAGGAAGATTGTAATTGCTTGCATTATGTGATTAGTGGATAATCTCTTTAATAGCATGATTAAGATTAACGCCATCAACAGATAAGGTAATCTTATCTAATAAATAATTAATTCTACTGCTAAGATAACTATTGGTAAGATGAGTGTTATGGACCTGACAAAGGCCTACATTCTAGAAGGCTCAAATAGGACTAACAACTAAGAGGAAATTAAGGAAATATTCCTTAATTATACTAATCCTACTATGGCAGCAATGGATCAACAATTAGACCCCCAATACTTCTAAGAGGCCCAAAATCCGCTCTTGCCAGGTAACATATCTATAAATAAAGAGTTAAACCAATAAAGTACACACACTCTAAACCCCCTCTCTTAGCTTGTCACTGTGCACACATCCCACGTCTTGACTATGTCGTTATATTATAACGCACAGTGATCCGCTTATCTTTAAGGTACTTCTCCTATAGGTAACTGAGAGAGGACAAACAGATCCTATATTAACTTACCAATCTCTGATTCGACAGATTGATCTATCAGAGTAACAATAAGTAAATCACTGTTATAAAAATACTGATAAGATAAACTAAGTAACTAGGATTCAGGATAACTAAACAACTAAGATTCAGGATAACTACGCAACTAAGATCAGATAAACTAACGTGAAATAAGATAACGTAATCAGGTTGGTGTCGGCCTCTTTTTGCGTCAGATACAGACTTTTACCTCTGACTTAACACAATACGAAGGCAGAAAAATATATTATGGCTGCAGGTAAGATTTGCAACAAGTAATAAATGTAATGGTTATATACCTAAAAATACATAGTCCCCGAATTCAAATGGAAAATTGGATTGATAAATAATCCAAAATTAGTTAAACAACCATCGGGAATTATTCCATCCTTTAAGCTGAGAAAATTTATGATCATGAAAATTAAATACCTAGTTGTATGTCCGCAAAAAACTTAAACAGACAACAACAATAACCTACATTTGTGTTGGAACTTCAATTATTTAACCTATTCCTGTGCTACATGATACCAAGCTTTGAAAATTTTCATGTAAATGGAAATGGGGGAAGATACCAATTTCAATGGAACAAAATAGTAACTGAAATTTCAAACATAAAAAAAAAAAAGGACTGAAGAACTCCTTCCCGGAAAACTTTTCAGCCAATCTTGAGTAATAACTGAATCTCCTCCCCGTCCTCCCCCGCTTTTGAAAGGAAAATATCATAAAAAAAGAAGAGGGAAAGTACCAATTAGCAAGAATCCTGTGTCAATGGATGAATCAATGTTGTGCAACTCGTTGGATTTGAAGCATCAAAATGTGTAACTTTCACAATTCAATTCTTCAGCATCCCATCACAGCGCAATTATAGACAAAGTTACCAGACCGTTTTCTGGCAAGTAGATGCCATTGAGGAGGTCCTTCACTGGGCACCCATGAATTGAGTTCAATAAAACCCTCACCATGAGTCCTTGGCCCACCAATGACAATAAGCCTATTTCCACATGCCCTGAATGCAAGACCCCAACCATTCATTGATACTGCTCGTTCAGGCAGTCTCCCAATGGTAAACCACAATTTTCTGTCCTTATCATATTTTTTAACCTCCATGTCAGCATAATCAGCAGCATATAATTCATTATTTACTACGGCAACCAGAGGCGGTGCCTCAGCTGTTGCAGGCATCTCAGATCCCCTTGCACTACGCCCCGGTGACATGTTAGGAATTTCAGTCCATGTTCTAGTCTGTAAATTGTACTCTTCACCACATGTAAGAATCTTAGAATCATTTCCACCTATTCCCCCAATAACATAAAATTTTCCATCCATAAACACCCCAGAGCACATCTTCCTGCGCTTCTTCATGCTCGGGAGTATTTCCCATGTTTGATTCTCAGAATTATATAGTTCAGCAGAGTCAAGGATATGTCCGTCTGAATCACACCCGCCAGCTAAAATAGCAATCTCTCCAAGGCTAGCAGATCCAAACAAGCATCTTGGAGCATTCATCCTCATTCCAGATGACCACGAGTTTGTCAAAAGACTGTATCGATAAATGACATGGGATCTCAGCTCCCTCCCAAATACAAGTAGTTCAGTACCTACAGCTAAAGACTCCTTATCCGAACACATAAAGCATTCATTAGAAGCCATCCTTGGTAAATGCATCCATCGTTCGCGAATTACATCATAGGCCTCCCATTCGAGGAGGGCACAAGAAAAATAAACCCAGTGTTCAATGATACCATTCAGTCTCCTCCATGTATAGAGCTCACCGCTTCGGATTATGTTGCGAAAGCTCCTATTCAGTGAGGCAAGAGAACCATAATCAGACCTAGAACAGCGGCTGAGACAGGCGATTGAGCTGTCTCGATTCATGCGTGGCAAGAGAGAACCAGAATTTGATGAATCCCCAGCATGGTGCTCTTGCTGCTCATCAGGAGGCTGGTCACTTGAATTCAATAAATTCCCTACAAGATGCTGCTGGTCATCAGCTTGCTGAAAGTGAACATCAGAATCGGATGAATCCCCAGACTGACCCTGCTGCTGTTTATCATATTGATGGTCACGGGACTCCGATGAATCCCCAGCGTTGTGTTGTTCTTGTTCAGCAAATAGCTGGATAGAAAAAGCTTCAGCCTCTTCAACTCTCTGGCAATTACTAAACGGCTCACAATCCTTCAACTGATCCTGGATGGTGGAGCCATCCTGATCCATTTGTGCAACAACAGAATCCTTAGCATGACAAGATTGCTGTTGAAACACAATTGGAACCGTCTCACCTTGATGGCAAGAATCCAATCTCTTGCTAACCTTCCTTGGCTGGGGTTCATCATCGCAGTCGATGTCTAAAGGGCGCTTGCCATTTTTTATGTCCAAGTCCGGCAGGTATTTCATGAAAGACCACTTGTTCTCAGTCTGGCAAGAGTTGGAAAACAACCCAGGAACCACACAGGAACGACCATCCAACATATCTCTGCGACAAGAACCAGAAGCAGCAGCAACAACAACAACAACAAACACTCAGCCTTCGATCTGGTGCCTCCTTCTGTCTTTGTCGGAAGTGACAAATTCAACAGCAAAGAGATTAACAATCTCAGCGCTGCAACAAGTCCCCAGAACCACGGTCAAAATGAACCAGAAACCTGTTCAAACAGAAATAATCATATTCAAATCCAATACACAAGTTCCATTTTTCCCCTCTTAAACCCTTCTTGAAAACTTAAATACCCAGAAACGTCAACACGACAAAAACAAAATTACAGATCGGAATCCATTCACAATCACATTTTTTTTCTCATGAACAAAGATAAAGTCCCTGATTAGAAAAAATAAAAATGGGGGGGAGGGGAAATGCCTCTTCCGGAACCAAATTCACAGAGAGATCCCGTGAAGCAAACACTATAAATAACAGGAGCATCAATCGAACGAAACCGGTTCAGGGAATCAAATGCGACACAAGTAATGAATCCACACCCCAATGCAGAAAACCAAAAAAAAAAAAAAAAAAAAAAATCAATTTTGAACAAACCCATTAATCATTGTACCCCAGGATTCAACAAAAAACAAATTTTTAGTTAGATCTCCATAAATCTATAATCTTCACTGATATCCAACCACATAGAAACAAACCAGCTTATTTATAAGAAAGCCACAAAATCAGAGAGAGAGAGAGAGAGAGAGAGAGAGAACGATGAGAGAGACTTACAGTTTGGATAAGAAGTAAAACCCAAAAAACAACAAGAGTACTTGATGGGGCAGTTTTTTGCAAATCGAACACCAAACTTCAACTCGTTCTTTCTCTATCCCAAGCTCACCGTTTTGCATGTACCCTCACAACATACATACACACACGCGTACACAACACACAGAGAGAAAAAAGAGAGAGCGAAAGACCCACTTTCTCTCTCTACCCAGAAGTTCTTTGGTTCTGGTTGGTCCTTTCTTAGGATAGTCTCTGCAAATCAGATGAAGGAAGGTTTTCGAGCAAAATCCAATTGAGGACCCCTCCCATGGCCTTATCTCCCTTAAATCATATCTTAATTTATAATTAAATAAAGGATAAGTGTTAATACTTTTAAGGGAAATGATATTGTAACAACCAAGTTGTGTTAATGTTACTATCAATCAATTTTACCGTTAGCTCGATTATATTGATCCAACGATTATATTTATTTTCATCTTTGTATGGTCATGATTTTTCAAATTTAGAGTGAAAACGTTACATATAGAAAATCATAACCATATAAAGGTAGAAATAAATATAAAATATTAAATTTAAAAAATCATGACTATACAAAGATGAAAATAAATATAACCGTTAGATCAACATAATAGATCTAATGATGAAATTAATTGATAGTAACATGATAGTAACACACTTGGTTGTTACAATATCTTTTTTCTATTTTTAAAGTAATATCATGTCATTTTAAATCAAAATTACAATATTTTACGTTGAGAAAAAGAATAACACAATAAAAATGATGGTCGAAAAAAATGAAAGATTTTTTTTAAAAAATTTAATATTAAATAAAAAAATTAATTATTTTAATTAAAATGGCGGATAAATATTTTTTCATTAAATAATATCTTAATTTCTTTTCTTTCTTATTATTATTATTTTAAATTATGTGTGTGTTTTTGGGTTGTAAAAAATTAGATGGTGGTGGGACCTACAAAAGGTTCGCCGGTTATCGGTAACCGCCGGTGGAGACACGTGTTGACTAGTGAGGACGAGTATCATGTGTTTTTTTTTTAACTCTTTCTGCCTCGCTGACTCAGAGAGAACATTTTAAAAGAAAAAAATAAAATAAAATAAAAAAGAAAAGCAAGAGAGAGAAAAAGACTCGTCCGTTTTCGTTACCCCTACGTCTCTGCGCCGTTGGATTCTTATTCCAAATTCTCGGCTGGTCAATTTCTCGTGCTAGGGGAGTGATCCCATGCGACGAGGTGCGATTGAGATTGCTTTTGTTGGTTGGTTGGTCAATCATAAAAAAGTTGACACCCTAGATTTCTCTTTAGCCTCCACGGATGTGACTTTTGACTGGTTAATTTTTAGTATTATTATTGAGAAAAGTTATATTTATAAAAATTTTCAATAAATTCTTATAAATTATATTATGTATTAAGAATAGAATATTATGTGCTGAAATATATAACTCTTAATATACAATATTATAGGTAAGAGTTTGTAAATAAAAAATTTATAAATATTATTATTGACGCGGTTATTAGTTTTAACATACACACAAGATGATAAAAAGAAAAAAAGAATATTTACTTAACTGTTGTGATAATGTCGTTAACTATGGTGATGATTATGATTATTACTACCAAACACGGCTGGATCATGGCCAAGTCAAAAAAGTAGATTGTGCCACGGTTTCACAATTTCCGCTTGCGTTTTCGGCTGGGGCTCTTCTTTCTTCTTAGCCTTATTTTTACGCTGTGTTTGATCTTTTGATGCGACATATATCCATAATATTGTCCTCTTTACACTCCTTTATCGAAATAAATATTTTTAAAATTGTAATACCGATACTTTATGTTATCTTACTGTTTAATGTGATGTGTTATTTCTTCATGACCTATGGGTTCAAACAAGATATTAAAATTGCTCATTTGTTGTGTCTGAGTGGATGACTAGCCAATCCTTGATTGGTATAAGGGAAAAAAGTTTTTGTTTAGTAAACTAATTAGAAAATGTTGTAACTCCCGCTATCGTAATCAGAAAATTAATTAGGACATTTAACTAACTATTATGGTCGAGTTTCCTTCTATCGGTAGATATTCGATTTGAGATCAATTTTTTTTTTTTGGGTTAAAATTCAAATCATAAGATACGTATACAATTGTGCAGCATTACACATTTCTACAATTAAAAATGGCATTATATTCTACTAGCATGTGCTAGCTGAAAGAAAGGACATGGTTTTGACACGCATAGAGATTCATATTGGGACACCAACGCAATTCAACAAGGAGATTAAGCCTAGAATTTTCTTGCAAGCACTGTGTTGAGATTCCCTAATCATGTCAAACTTTAAAATAGTTGCAATAGTCATTGCTCTCAATCTAATATCTAATGTTGTAGGCTTCGGTAGGCCTAACTTTTTGCACTTTAGCGCCTATCAGCCTTGAATTATAATGATCATCTTCAACACCCCTTTTGTTTCTTCACCTTCATTTCTGTTTTCTATTGAAGATCACAAGTGGTAGGTTGGTCCGCATTTGCACATAATCACAACAGTTGGCAATCCTAATCACCTTTTAGCATCTTCCATTTCATACGATAATATGATTAGAGTGTAGTTTGTCTCTAATTTTGTTCTCCAGTTTTTTTCATAAATAAGAAAAAATATGTCGTCATCTAATTTATTTTTTTAATTAAAATATTTTGAACATGGAAACTATGACAATTTTTGTTACGTTATATGGGTATCTCACCTCCTTGTTTTATCCTTTTCTTTTGTAATAATATTGCATACTTTTAATAAATTTTCAGTACTAAAATTTACTTGTTTTTCACAATAGATATGGATATGTGATCATTTTTCATAACTAGAAAAATGAATATATGCTAAAAATATCAAAACTAATTTCTAAATTTAAATTTTTTTTGGTATTATTTCTAAATTTAAATTTTTCCTATAGAAGTATAACGCCAAATAAAAAAAAATTATATATTACAGCTATTTGAATGCTACTGAATATTAATTTTAAAATCTGTATGATGCTAAACACAAATTTCAAGGGGCCGTTTGGTACACGGGTTTTTTCTGAATTTCCGGGAAACTGAAATTTTTTAAAATTTTAAATTTTCAGATATTATCGTAAACTGAATGTAAAAATCATATTTTTGAAAATCGAGATTCCCGGACAAATAAAAATTTCTCGTGTACCAAACGCCTCATTGTTTCTTCATATTTCCTTACATTTTATTTATGGGAATTGAGATAAAATTATCTTTAGTGAGCTCAAAACGATGTCATTTTAAGATTATAAGATTAAAAAATTATAATGATAAAGACTAATATAACCCTGCAATATATTAGAATTACAAAAATACCTTGATTTCCGTCCCAAAATGACGTCGTTTTAGGCTCACCACAGATGACTTATCTCCGTTAACCGGAGAAATCCTTTACCCATCCTAAAATGATGTAATTTTGGGTTTTAATATTACAAATTAAGGGTATTTTAAAAAATTTATTTTCCTCTTGTACAATGAATTTTATTAAAATATCATTTATTTTTAATCTTAAACTCTAAAGTTATGTCATTTTGGGGTTACAAGAGATAATTTTATCGCATGTGACAGGAGCAACATTAATCGCTACATTTATAGTATTTTATTTAGGTTTTTTTGTTTCTCTATCAACTTGAGATAAAGTTCTATCCATCAACCTCAAAATTACATCATTTTAGGGATCGAGGGAATTAATGAAAGGTATTTTAGTAAAATTTATAAAGCAAAAAGTAAATAAAATTCTTAACAAATCCTTCATTAATTTTCTTAACTCTCAAAATAACGTAATTTTAAAGTTAATAGAGATAATTTTATCTCAAGTTGATGAAGAAACCATAAACCCTTTCATTTATTTGTAGTTTGAATTCTAACTAAAAGGGAAGGATAGACTTATATCTAATTAAGTTTATCATTTCTTACCACTAAATCTTAACTGTTGATTTCCGTCAATCTAATGGTTATAATTTATTGAAAATTACTAATTAATTAATAAAAATCATCCAATAAATTATAATTGTCGGATTGACAAAAATTAATGATAAGAAATAATAAATTTAATTTGTGGCCCTACTTATTCCAAATCATAGTGAATGATTGGCTGAATTCTACGATGTATATATGTAGGTTACATTTGAATAATCTTTACAAAATTCATGATTATTTTTATAATTTTTGGGAAGTTGCATTTTTATGCCAGTTTATTTGAAAAAGTACTTTTTCTTCGGAAATATGTTTTAAATATTTTTGAAACAATAAGTACGATAAACTTTTAAAAGAATTACACTCATAAAAAAGAGAGAGATTATACTTACTATCTTTTTTTATCTCTTACTCCCAACTCTTAACTATTGATTTCGTCAATCTCACGGTTATAATTTATTAGGTGATACTTATTAATGGAAAAGTTATACTTACTATCTCGTTTTCTTATTACATCTTACTACTAAATCTTAACCGTTGATTTTTGCCAATCTAACGATAGTAATTTATTGGGTCATACTTATTAATTAATTATTAATTTCAATAAATTATAACCATTGGATTGACGAAAATCAACGGTTAAGATTTAGTAAGAGTAGTAAGTATAACATTTTTCACTTATTAATTAATTATTAATTTTCAATAAATTATAACAGTTAGAGTGATAAAAATCAACGGTTAAGATTTAGTAATAAGAGGTAGCTATGAAGCACCGACACTTCAAAATCCTTGACGTGTCGTGTCAGACACTCACCGACACTTCCCGACACTCTAATACTCGTTGCAAAGACTCAAGAAAGGTTTAAAGGTTACGTTGTGTTGCATTTTGAGTTTCAACTATTAGATTCGTTGAATTACGATTACTATTTTATTGAGCTTAATATAAACGTTTGAGATATCTTATGTTTCTTTGCAAAACTGATGGCTATTATAAGTTTAACTTTATTTTTTTGTTAAATTATTGAATATAAAATATAATATACATAACATAAATTAAAAATATTATATAATATCAAAATGTGTTCTCACGTGTCAAAATTTAACATTTTTTAGAATTAACGTGTCAGAGTGTCGTGTTGTGTCGTATCCCGTGTCCCGTGTCGGTGTCGGTGCAACATAAAGAAGTAGTAAGAAAAAAAGGTAGTAAGAAAAAAAGATAGTAAGTATAACATTTCCCTATAAAGAAACATTTCTAATGCTTTTTTATAAGCTATAAAGAGTAATTTCTGAAAAAAGTTATAAAATAGTTATTTTAAAAGATTATCCAGACGCT